ACGGGCCTTTATTTATTGCGCGTGCTGTTTACATATTCATTAGATAGTTTTGCTTACTGAATACATATTAATGACGTGCTTTGCATGGTCACGCCCACATGGGAAGTCTTCCTTGGTCCTTCCGGGTCTTCGTCGTCGTCCTGACCCCTGTTCTTGAGCGGGCACAGCGTCATTGTGTTCCACCACCAAAAACTGCAGCGCTTGTTCTCTCTTTTATCTGGGCACACAGAGCTTAGTTTACATCCTGTTTGTTTACACCCCTTATCTAATTCTCGAGGACTTCTCCAAGATTGTATTGTTCCTTGTTTGGGCACTCCAGGATGCTGCGAGTGAAGTTTCTGCCTCTCCCGTCACGGGTGCAGCTTTCCCTCGCCCCGAGCACCCAGAGTTTTAATGTGTTTTGTGTGAAAACTGGGGCTGTTTAGCCTGGAAAAGAGGAGGCTCGGGGGAGACCTCATCACTCCCTACAACTCCCTGAAAGGAGGTTGTAGCCAGGTGGAGTTTGGTCTCTTCTCCCAGGCAACCAGCAGCAGGACAAGAGGGCACGATCTTAAGCTGTGCCAGGGGAGGTTTCGGTTGGATATTAGGAAGAAATTCTTTACAGAGAGAGTAATCAGACATTGGAATGGGCTGCCCAGGGAAGTGGTGGATTCTCCGTCCCTGGAGGTTTTTAAGATGAGACTGGATGTGGCATCAGTGCCATGGTCTGGTAACCACGGCAGTGTTGGATCAAGGGTTGGACTTGATGATCTCAGAGGTCTTTTCCAACCCGGCTGATTCTATGATTCTATGAAAACAGTCACTACACAGGCACTGCCTTAGTTTATCCTCCCTGCTTTCCTTCTCCTGGAGCTGGGATGCACCAGGACGCCCCGGGTGTCAGCTGGGTCACAGCGCTGGGATGGTTTGCACGGTGGTATGACCTGGAGGGCTTTTGGTGCTGAGGAGGTTTTAGAGGGTGTTGGGAGGGGGACTTGGGGGTGCTAACAGGGTTTTGCGGGCTGCTGAGATGGATGTTGGGGTGTTAATGCTGTTTTAGGGGGTGCTGGCAGGGTTTTGAGGATGCTAAACCATACTAAAATGAGGTTTGGGGCTGCTGAGGTTTGAGGGGGAGTTGGGGCTGCAGGGATGGTTTGTGGTGCAGAAGGAGGGGTTTTGTTGGTGCTAAAGGGGTTTTGGAGGGTGCTGGGAGGGATTTGGGGGTGTTAATGAGGTTTTAGGGGGTGCTGGCAGGGTTTTGAGGATGCTAAAACACACTAAAATGGGGTTTGGGAGTGCTGAGTGTTGGAGGGCAGCGCTGGGATGCTTGTGGTGCACTAGGAGGCGTTTTGTTGGTGGTAAAATGGTTTTAGAGGTTGCTGGAAGGGACCTGGGGTTTTACCCCATTACCCCTGACCGTGTGCCCAGCAGCACAGTCAGTGCTGGCTGGGACAGCACAGACACAGACAGGAACACCTCAAGAAAACAGTATAAAGGGGTGAGAGAGAATGGCATGAAACTGTGTTGTGAAAGGTTTAGGTTGGATGCTGGGAAAACACTGTTTACCCAGAGGATGGTTGGGCAATGGAACAGGCTCCCCAGGGCAGTGGTCACAGCACCAAGCCTGACAGAGCTCAAGCAGCATTTGGACAACATCCCTGGGCACATGGTGGGATTCATGGGGTGTCCTGTGCAGGGCCAGGAGGTGGACTGGGTGATCTTTGCGGGTCTCTTCCAGCTTAGGATATTCTGTGACTCTGTGGTTCTCTCAGAAGGTTCTTGCTCTTCATCTTGCTCTGCAGGCTGAAGAGAAAATGTTCTGGATCCTGTATATAAATCAGGGAAAAAAAGAAAAATGTCTGCTTTATCAATCACAAAAATGCCATTTAATTCCAGTATGAATAAGTCATCAAGAGACTATAGCAAAAAAAAATAAAAGGTAATTAAGAGAATATTTATTGCCTCTGCATATGAAGGACAAACAGTAACTCCATGGAGCACATCCTGTGGTACCTTGTGGAGTTTGGGATCTCAGAGCTCCTGTCACACAGTTTGCTCACCAGAGCAGCCACACAGCTCTGACTGGCATGAGCTCCCTCTGTGCTCCAGGTTCATTCCTTCTGCTCAGGCACACAAAAACTGGGAGCGTAGCACTTCCCAGCAGAACCCAACAGACTGGTGTCCCCCTGGGGAATATAAATTCCAGGGTTTGAAGCCTGGAAGAAAGCTCCCATCATGGCTTTTTCTAACCTTTGATGCTCAGAATTTTCTTAACACTTTCCCACACTGGCAGAAAGCATTATCCCTTCTTAAATCTGAAAAAGGCAAAATTGGGTCATTTTTCTTCCTGTAAGTAATGTGCAAAGAACTGACAAAATGGACTAAAAGTCAACAGCCCATAGAATTCCCTGTTCCAGGATGTCAGCAATATCCCCATCTGTGTTAGAAGCACTCAGCATGTGAAGTACCATGAGCGTATTTATAACATTTCACATATGGTATTGAAATAATAACACACAAATATACTACACCAACTACTAACATTGTGAATTATACCAATCACTGCCAATATTTATTGGTCAATGGATATAGAGTAATACTGATGCACTTAGAAGACAAAGACATAATGAATAAACAGAGTATAATTTCTTGGACTGGATTTGGAATTATTACTGGAGCTATGGCTCATGAAAATTGCAATGGAACTTGAAATGCTTCCAGTGGGTCAAGTCCTGTTTCCATGCCTCATCCAAAAACCTGCATCACCTAAGCCAGTGCTACATCTTAGGAAACACACCCTGTACATCTGCTACACTACAGATAATACTTTCTTCAGTATTATGGTGTTACAGTGACACCAAAAAGCCACTCATTTCAGTTCTGCTGCTCAGGGAGCAGGGAATGGTGCACACATGGCTGCAAAGAGATTTATTTTCAGATTTCAAGAAAATGGTGCAGTTCTGGTTTTCTTTTTCACATAAGGCTGTCTTCATCTGGGGAGAACACTGGAAAACAAAGTTCAGCAAGACAGTGTGTGCATTGGCAGTAGTTCACCAGGGACATGATGCCTGCACCCTGAGGAGCAGGAATGCTGAGGGAGGCAGGGAACAAAAGATGGAGCAGCACGAGGTGAGGTGAGGTGGTCGTGCCCTGCTGAAATCAGTGCAGGTATGAAACAAAAGTTGGAGCAGCACGGTGGGAGTGCGGTCACGCTCTGTAAGAAACAATGCAGGTAACAGGAGCCAAAGGAACAACCTAAGCCCTGACCAAACTTCACTTCAATAACCCCATGTGTGCTCATGGCTGAAGTCAAACTCCAGCTAAACAGAAAACGATGTCAACTGTAACTCATCTTTTCTCCTCCCTCGAAGAAAACAATATAAATACAGCTTAAGAGAGCAGGGAGGTCAGAGGAGACTCCACCTCTGTGTCCTGGGACTGTCAGCAGGCTGCACCTACCTCCTCCCCCAGGGATGCCTGTTGGGCATCAAACATTCGGCTGTACCGAGTGCTTCCTCGGGAAATGTGGAAAGCAGCTTGTGCTTGAGATCGTGCTCTTAGGGCTGTATCAACATCTCCCAATTTCATGTGCTTGTGCCTGGCTGTGTTACATTTTATGTGTTCACACGTGCTTCTGCAGACAATGTGTTTGCCACCAGCATAGAATCATAGAATGGTTTGGGTTGGAAGTGACCTTAAAGATCATTCCGCTCCAGTGCCACAGTGGCTCTGCATTTTTGTTGCTTAGTGCCGAACTGGCCATCCCTCAGAATCCAAGCCCAGCTGCTTCCAGTCCTTATGGTTCCTGAGAAGCAGCTGGAATTCAACAGGGGTGGTTTTCTGCCAAATTTAATGCAACAGATAAATTTGTTTTACTCTTAATGCGATACCTTCATTAGGAGTTTTAAACGGGAGTTTACAAAACGCTTCCTGCAGCTTTGGGACTCATAGTGAGATTATTTACCAGATTATTCGTATCACTAAATCAGGATCTGATAAAAGGCATCGGAGAAACTATTTTCACATGGCAATAGACACACGATCCCTCCGGGAAATCCACCCCATCCTTGCCCCATCTCCTGGCCCCCATCCCGGGAAATCCACCCCGCCGCTGCCCCTCTCTGACCCCCATCCGGGAAATGACCCCCATCCCGGGAAATGCATCCCATCGCTGCCCCTCTCCTGACCCCCATCCCGGGAAATCCACCCCATCGCTGCCCCTCTCCTGACCCCCATCCCGGGAAATGCACCCCATCGCTGCCCCTCTCCTGACCCCCATCCCGGGAAATCCATCCCATCGCTGCCCCTCTCTGACCCCATCCCGCTGGCGCTCACGGCGCACCGGCAGCGCGCTGGGCAGCCCCGTGGGGCGGTGCGGGGGCCTAGCGGGCGCTGCCGGACCGCGGTGAGGACTGCGGGGAAGCCCCGCCCCTTCCTGTGTCGGCCATGGCCCTGCAGGGGGCGCTGCGCCGGGCGGCGGCGGCCTGGGGGGGGCGGTGAGAGCGGGACCGAGGAGAGGGGTCGGGAATGGGGGCCCGGATTGGGACCGGGAATGGGATGGGGATGGGGATGGGGATGGGGATGGGGATGGGGATGGGGACGGGGACTGGGAGGGGGAGAGGGATCGGGATCGGTGTTGGGACTGGGATCGGGAGAGGGATCGGAATCCGGATCGGGACGGCGGTTGGGATTGGGACTGGGTTTGCGATCGTGATCGGGATTAAGACTGAAATGGGACTGGGAGAGGGATCGGGTTTGAGAGAAGGAGAGGAATAGGGATCGGGACAGGAACCGAGAACGGGTTCGGGACTGGGAGAGGCATCAGGATCGGGATGAGGAGAGGGATCACCAGGCCCAGGATCGAGGTCGGGGTCAGGATCAGGACAGGCATCGGGATCGTGTCACGGTGCCGTGGGAGGAGCGGGGGTTCCGGGGCCCGGGCCGGCACGGCAGGGACGGCTCTCGGTGCTCCCGCGGGAGGCGGGCGGTGCCCCGGGCGGTGCCGCGGGCGGGACACGTGTCCGGCCCCGCCGGGAATGGAGCGTTTGGCGAGTAACGGCCCCGCCCGGGCTGCTCGGCAGCTCCAACACCCGGCTCTGTTCTCCTGCCCCCGCCGGCGCTGAGCACCAGAACGGTGTAGGTAGTGCAGCTGAAGTGAACTTGAGCGTAAGAGAGAAATCGGTTAAAAAAAAAAAACCAGGACAAAGCCAACCCTTAATTTGTGAACTGCAAAATGTGATGTTTGTCTGAAAGCTCGAATATCTGATTGTGATTTCTTTTTAGTTCGAGAATGGGGAGCCTACAGTCTACTTCTGTAGGATTGTCTAATGATGCTGCTGTGAGTCAAATACAGGTAACATTATTTATGCTACTTTTACTTATTTTCAACATTTATAAAAGCTGTGGGTACTTAAAACGTGTTCTTATTTATACAAAGAAATACTGTAAATAGTTCTGCATGTTGAACCTGTTCTTATGTTTATTATGTTTATCAAGTCATGCTGGCAGCATTGTTTATCCACAGCCCTGGAACCTGATCTTCTTAGGCTGCACCCATTTTATGTTTTTTTCAGACCTCTACTCAATTTTTTGGAGTCAAGTACAGGTCAAACATGGCTTCATAGGTGCCAGCAGTAATTCTCCTGTATTTGTTACCATAACAGCAGCGTTTTGACTTCTGTATTGGCTTTCATGACTGTTCAATATTGTTGGAAATGTACTGGCATAACGCTGACTGACTGAAACCTCACTGACTTAAACTTTCTTTTGAACATACAGAACATTATTTCAGACAACTGTGTGGTGATTTTCTCTAAAACAACATGCCCATACTGCAAAATGGCAAAAAAGCTTTTTGACAGTTTGAATGTGAATTACACAGCTGTGGAACTGGACACAAATATGAATGGAAGCCTGTTCCAGGACGTTCTTGAGCAGATGACGGGTGGCAGAACAGTGAGTATCTTTTCCTATACATAACAAGCAAAGTAAGAACTTGGGATACACATGTGCCCCTTGGGGTATGTCCATATCAAGTTCTTCATCTTTTTGAGACAAGTAACGTGGGATACGAGCTCCCAAATTAAAGACAAGGTACTGCAGAAGGGTTCTGTACCCTCTTTTCCTTTAGAGCCCCCTGGCTATCCCTCAGTTATCTTTTCCATAATGCCACTGAAATAACCCAAGTATCTATTTTTCATTTGTATATTTAATCCATTGTGTTAAACAATTGCCTTGTATTTTTTTTATTTCCTATAGTCTCACTTGACTCAGTTATTACAAACTCCCACACAGTGACTTCATCCCACTTCTGAGGGGCACTCAAAGCTTCCCATCTCTGTAAATATTATGGAAATGTATGAGTTGTACACTAGTATTATACATACATCTAGAAGAACACAACTATTGCGTGTATTAGAGTCCATGTGGGCTTACTTAAGACTTTTATCTTTTTTCCAAGAAGTAACTAATGTAATTCTTGTTTTCTTGACAGGTTCCAAGAGTGTTTATCAATGGGACTTGTATTGGAGGTGCAACAGATACTCAAAGGCTTCATGATGAAGGCAAACTGCTTCCTTTAGTTCATCAGTGTCAAATAAAAGCAAATTCCTGAGCAGCCATCCAGCTTAGCTTCATCTTCCTTTGTATAAACAGAATTTCAGATGAATGCAGAAGATCACAAAGATACACACACAGCATGAGCTGCACTCAACAACTTCAAACCATGGCTTTCTGAATCACAAATCATTCTCTGACAGACTTTATGGACTTAGCAAATTAACTGGTGTCCTTGCTTAAGCTTTATCATAATCAAAATGGTCATTAAAAATCATTATGTAACTCAGGACTCTTCGTGTGAGACAGTGATGTCATTTCATGGCTTTAACATCCTGCTTCAGAGAAGTCTAAACTGTACAAGAATAATGGGTATTTTTTTGCTCCACATTAGTTTGCTTTCTAGCTTTGTTTCAGTAAATGGTCAGTTTAATTTAATGGTGCCTTTATATTCAACTCTTCTCTGTCAAATTGTAATGAAGAAAGTAAGAACCCAATGAGGCTGCAGTGATTCTGGTGTGTGTGTGTGTCTGCCTCTCACATTTCAGTGCCTGATCACCGAGCTCCCAAACCATATCCACTTGAACAGAAAAGGGAATAAAGAGTCTGGCAGCTTTAGAGGGGAAGTAATGGCTTTCATCTCTACTCTGCACTACAAAGTATCAGTCTGTACAGTGCCATTCAGGAATTCTCCTAGGGGAGCCAGACAGCTCACTGACACTAAACTGCAGCTACAAACTATGGTACAATAATCCAACAATATATAAAAAAAAATACTAAGTCAAATGGGTCTAATATGCATAGAGTTTATTTAGTACTTAAATTCTACAATCAGAATGCAGTTTACTATCCATTTTAACTTTCAGTTAAATGTCTAAAAGAAATTACTAAAATTCAATAGTTTCAGTACAATGTACATCCAAAGCCAGAACAGGCAATGCCAAGACTCTTGGTTATTTCAAGGAAGTCCATATGCAAGTAGAAAATTCTATCCCATTCTTCGTAAAAGGGACCATTACACAACTAAAGGTGCACACATTAGAATAAAAACATTAGTCAATTAATTTTTACTCCTGTTATTTCCATTGCTTTCAACACTGCATGTACCTAAACTACTTTTTTCCCCCCTCAAGGGAAAAAAGCATCACATTTATCTTCAACTCCAGGTAGCTAGGATTACAAGAGTGTAATTTAAATTTGACAGCTTTATTTTTGTGATGCAGGTTTGAAACTGCATCATTTATAGAAAGTCTTCAGAATAGAGTTGTCTGCACTGTGCATCTTTAATGTGTAATAAGCTAATTAAACACACTGGCCTCGTTATATTTTTATTGCCATTTACTGTATTTTGCACAGTCATCAAGATAAACACACAAATGTGCATCTCTTCCTGAATTTATACTTAATAAAGCAATTTATTTTGCACATACAGTCGTAAAAGAATACCAAGTACTCTTTTTCTCTGTGTAGAATTCTTCAGCCAGCTAAGTGTTTTCAGAAGTTTAGCAATAATTTTGCCCCTGAAAGCTGATAAACCCATCATGTAAAAATAACAACAATAGTATGCAAAGGAATTTTTCAAAGACCTTTTCATTTTGTTCCCTGTTTAGGGACTCGTTTTTCAAACAGTAGTCTAAAATAACCCTTTGAGTTCCAAGTTTTGGAAATCCCAGGGCACTGTCACTTAAGGCAATAATCTAATCCAGCTGGAGAAAATGTGCTGTATGCCTGCAGATCCAAGTGAGTGCCCATCTATTAAAGGAGATATGTCTTAAGGCACCCAAAGGGTTAATTATGCTTCTTTTTAACCACATTAAGGCTCCCCATCCAAATAGTTTTTCATTAATTGTGTATAATTTCACAGAAAGTAGCAGCAAGACAGTGCCTTCATTATTGGATGGCACAAAGCCATGTTATGTTTAAGTTATTTAAACATGATATGGCAGTTAAAGTGTGGTTCTACTCTAGGAAATAATAATAAAAAAACCCCAAACAACAAACAAATTAAGAGACTCAAGAACAGTTATTAAAAATTTCCATAATTTTGTGCCCAGCATTATCTCCAGGACAAAGCTGTTTATCTTAAAATATGCTTGCCCTGGGATCTGAATATTAAAATGTATCCACTAAAAGATATGGATACCTGCTCATCCAGCCTAAATCCCATGCTTCTAAGTCTGAGAAGCTGGAAACAAACACTGAGTTTTTTAACTAAGCAGACAGATCTGTGAATGTGCCCCTCTGTTGCTTTTTTATACAGAATTCTTTTTAAAGAGTAGAACTGCACTTTTAGAGAAGAATGAAAAGACATTTTATTTGTAACTAGTTGTGCTTAACTCTTAAGAAGCTGGTTAACATTAGGGAAACAACTATTTATATTCATTATTTGTTAATGAAGGATTTGTAAAAGTTCTCCACATACCTCATATATATGCAAATATATATATATATTTAAACTTAAAAGTCAGAATGCAGAAAGACCTAAAGAAACCACGCTTTAAGTATCAAAATTATAAATCCAAATATGTAAGCACACATATACCTTCTGCCGAAATCAGCTAATCTTACATGTTATCTCTCAGAGCAGCACATACACAATATACTGTCCTAGTTAGTGTATTACCTTTCCCCCCACCCCGAACTCTTACTCAGCAATTTGTACACAATTCGGTGAGATGAAATCTCTACCATTCCAGCAAGAAAGTCATTAAACCAGCTTGCTTACAGCATATCTGCACTGCAAACCACTGCGGACAGCAAAATAAACCTATAAACTGATCAAGTGTCAGAGAAAGTAAGAATTAAAAGTACAAGCAAATGATACTGTGCTTAGGTTTACTTCTACAGCCTGTTCTTTGAAGACTTCCTCTAGTCAATACTGCAAAGAAGCTGCCCATTTATCCAGAATATTAATTTAAATATTTGCCTAATTCTGCCTATGACAGCAGCTTGATAATATTTAATGGAATAAAAAGTTTCAAACCACTGAGCCAATTCTAGAAAAAAAATTGAAAAGCCAATTGTAAGAGGTTACTTTTATAAAAATAAAGTTATTCACAGTCAGGTGTTGGATTTTTGTAAATAAACAAAGTATACTTTTGTCACTGATTTATACACAAAGTTTTACCAAAAATGTGACAGATACAGCAAATCGAATGTTTTGTAAAAGATTTACATAATTAAAGAAAAAAGTTTATCCATTCTTAAAAAAATTAAAATAAATACTATGACATCAGTTCCGGTGTAAGTAGCTAAGCGCTCAATGACAGTAAAAAGGCAGAACAGAGGCAAAAATTAAAAAAAGGAATGGATGAGAGCTTGTGAAAAAAAGATTCAAGTATAGGCCTGAGGTGACGAAGAGACGGGAAAGGAGAAAAAAAATAAACATTAACAGAAAAAAAGAAGGGTAAAGCAAAAAAGTAATAGAAGAAAAAAGCCAAACAGAACCAAAACTAAAGCTTCTGTTACAGTAGCTGTGAGTCAGGTACATGGTTCAGCAGCACAGCATTTTTTGCAATGCACAAAAATATTTTCATAGTGTTCTTACAGACAGAGCCATTATTAAAATACACTTCCAAAACTGCTGGTGTTTCTTTAAGCCAAGAATATGTATTTTGTTGAATTGCCTTTTAAAGCCATAACCATTTATGGGCACCAGTTAAACAACAACAATGCAAAAGAACAACACAACCCCCCTTATGATTTATGTTTAACAAAGAGGTTTAACAGTGGTTTTAAGCAGCAAGGTATTTTAGGGCCAGTTATTAGTAGCCTTCACACAGTGGGCATTTAGAGTGGCCCTTCTGACTTCAGAGCTACACCTACTTTTAGACTTTTCTTTTTTTTAAAGACAGAGGAACGTAGGTAAGGACCCCATATTTTGCCTGTAATCTAATTCTACAAGCATCCCAAATGCTCCTACTCCTTGCTCCAGGTCTAAAATTCCTGACATGAAATTCTATTTCTTGGCCCTCTCCACATTCTTGATTGTGTCCCTTCCATGAAGAACCTTGGCCTTTGATGTTTGTTCCTTACAGCCCTTCATTACAGAAGAATGTTTTACCTCTGTTGTGCTTCCAACCATTAGAACCTTTTTTTCTTTCTTAAGATGCCTGAACATTACAGCCTTAGACTGTATAATTGTTTAACACTGCAGAATTGTTAAGGGGGTCACAGTGAAATGGCAGCCAAAGTGAAACCTCTCAGTTCTGTCAGATATCAGGAAACCTGCGTTCATCCACTCTGCTGTTGCACTCTGCATTTAGAGTTATTTTAATCAATATTTTGAATAAAATTAACTAGCTTTAAACTTCTCCCTGTTCAATTTTTACTGATAAACTGCATTGCACAATTATAGCCCCATTTCTGCTTTGTTAGCCAAAGTGTTCCTCCAATGCAAACACCACTATTAATTTCAAAGAGTCCCTGTCTTTGGTGAAAAGGTAGGTCATCTATTGTACACTGAACTAATGCTTCAGCTTAGCAACTCTGCCTTAGTTCACTTTTTGTCTATTATTTTTGAAGCATTACAGTAATTATTGCCTCTTTACATGTCTAGATATTGGTTTGGAAATTACCAGTTTAATAACTGAAGACTAAAGTCAGGACATTTATGTTATGGCAAATGAGTCATGCTGTCCCCTAAAATTCAGGGTATGGGCAGATAAAGATCTAGGAAAGATAAAGATCCAGGGAAAAGGAATACACAGCATCGTTATTCTATGCCCCTTCCTGGAAGATAATAACAAACCCCAAAAGAAAATCATAGGAACAAAGGTCACACTATAAAGTTTCAGTTGTCAGCATTTACTAATTTTCCCCTCTCTGTGTAAATCTTAAGGGAGGAGCAGATGACAATGTGGTCTCACCAGTGCTAGTTTTACATTGTGTAACCAAACCACTTAGAATATTCTATTTCTAGCAAGATTTTTTTGTACAGAGACACTATAAATGTTTAGGAGTGTATTATGTACCCTAGCATGGATGACTATCTTTTATTATGGGTCAGAGCTATCCAGTGTCAATAAATACAGGGAGCTACAATTTCTATCAGTTCTACTGAAAAGTTCATCTTTACTTACACACTCTAGTTCAAGTATTTTAAACTGGACTGCTTTCAAAGATGCAACACCACTATAACCGTTCATTCAATCTGTTAGTAACTATTCTAACCTTTTATTTGCAGTAAGTTTACTTGAAAATTACTTGAAACACCTGTTTAATTTTATATTTAGTCCAAAATATTTCCTATGACTTCACAAATGCTACTCCAAAGTAAGAAAAAGTACTTGCAAAAGTACATCAGTTATTTTCAACGTCTCTAGCTTAGAGGAAACACCTAATCAGATGTTTGACTACTGTGTAATTTAAAACACATTACTACCAAAACCAACCCCAAAACATCAGTGCATTTACTTGAAATAATTCTTAACATGTATTGAGCAAATGAGTTTACTCCCCACATTGATATGGTGTTTTGTTTAGATGCTAAGAACGA